TGGTTCTTCCTCCCTCCCTCTTCCTCCCTCTATGGTTCTTCCTCCCTCCCTCCCTCTTCCTTCCTCCATTGTCTTTCATTCCAGTGGTGGGATTTAAATTTTTTTACTACCAGTTCTGTGGGCATGGCAGGGGAAGGATACTGTAAAATCTGTAAAAGTCAGAGGTGGGATTTGCCAGTTCTCTGAACTCCTCAAAATTTCCGCTACTGGTTCTCCAGAACTGGTCAGAACCTGCTGAACGCCACCTCTGCTTCCTTCCTTCCCTCCTTCCCTCCTCTTCCCACTTCAAATCTAAACATTTTGGACTGTTTACAACAAAGGACCCCAATCCACCATCTCTGTGGTGACCAAATTAAATTCAGAGTACTTCGGGACCATACAAGATTCATCCATTGGTTGCTACAGAGGGAAAGACCTCAGTTTGATTTGGGTCTCCCAAAATCAGCCTGGCACCAACTCGGGGGCGTCACCTTGGTCCTTTTCAATGAGGCTGTTTCCCATAGAAAGGGGGTCCAAGGGGGTCACCCAAAGACTCCATTTTGGATTTCCTATCCCAGGAACTCCAAAACATCTCGCTTTCCTCACTGGGTGGTGACATGAAGGCCAAAGTTGGTAAACTTTAAGAAGGTCATCCTCAGCTATGCAAGGTCCCTGGAGGACTTTTAGGTGGGACTTTTCCTTCAGCTCAGCCCACCTCACCGGGTTTCATGGGGGAAAGAGGTGGAGTGAATCTCAGGTGGACTCTCCACGAAGCCTTCAGAAGCTGAAGGAGATGTTGGCTTCCCATCATCTCTTGACCGCCAAAGCTTCTCTGGAACAGCTGTTAGTCGTGCTATGTAGAGTCAGCCTTGCCAAATGAGTGTCTTAGTATGTTCCTAATCTTACCTCCACCTCTTTCTCCAGGGTGGTCTCCAGTCCCAACGATTCGACCACCATCTCTTGGGTCACGGGGAACTTTGCTGGAATCTCTGTGCATCGCTGAATGATCCCGGGGCTCGCCCCGTTGAGATACTGGTAGCCAAAAAATGCATCTTCGTCCCAATGCTTGCTGACATATTCTGGGGAGACAGAAAATGTCCTTGAAAAGAGGCAGGGCTAGTTTTCTGGGACAAGACAGATCTGATGGACTCCCCTCCAGAACAATATCTCTCATTTTCTGTCTCTCCTGTTTAAAAACTAAATTTCAGCGTAAGTCTGTGTTGGGAGTCAGGGTCAGCACCAAGCCAAACTGAGAGCTACAAGGGGGAAGAAGGGACGGAGCTGTCAGAGAGAGAGAGAGAGAGAGAGAGAGAGAGGTGAGGCCTGGGCCTGGGCCTGTTGTGGCCCACCAGCAGCCAGCAGAGCTGGCAGCAGACTCAGACAGTGAGGAGGTTGGGGAGGAACCTGGGCCAGTCCTGGAGTCTGGGGAAGGCTCGGACGAGGGCTCTGCATCAGAGGCAGAGATGGAGCCAGAGCCGTCCAACAGTTACCAGCTGCCTTCGGAGTCAGAGATCAGTGGGGGAAAAGAACAGTGGGAGCCTGTTCCCAGTGTGCGCATGCGCAGAGCTGCCAGGAGAAGGGAACAGTTAAGGAACAAGGGTTGCCTCAAGAGTAAAGCCACGTGTACAATGAAGGCCTGTCCCAGAGAGAATAACGAGGAGTGAAAGGGGAATGGTGTTTGCAGGAGACAATTAGTTAATTAGGGTGAAGATTTGCTCCTGACTTCTTGCCAGGTATTGTCTGCTACAGCATGGCATTTGGACAATATTGGCCTAGGAACTCTCCCAGCCTGATAAAGGTCTGTAGTTGTGCAATCTCTTGAAAGACCGTTTGCCAGGACTTTGCTGGAGAGGAATTCACTTTAAATTAAGTGAAAGGGATTTTGTAAGATTGAGGAGTTCGCTTCATGCTTTTGGGAAGCTGGCCAGAACAAGGCCGTCCCTCACTTGGAGAATCAACAGCTCCTAAGTCTGGAGGTGGCTGATGAGGAAGAGGAGAAACAGCTGGGTCCAGTGCCTGACGTGCAGAAGGCAGAGGAGAGGCGAGCAGTGGAAATCTAGGCCAGTCCTTGGGATGGAAAAGCCACCACTGCAAAGCCCCGGCCTAGCTCTGGCGATAAAAACAGGGGGCCGAGACGAATAAGTATGGCAGACTACTGCCGGTCGATAGTCTGCTCTTCTGAATCCTGTCTGGAAATGATAAGAATTTTCAAAGTCTTCCTTCCTTGGAAAGCCAGGTTATCAAAGAAGCAGCCCAGCTTTTACGATTCTAAGTTTTTAGTCCACATGAGAAAGGAAATCTACAGGCCGTTCCAATGTTGATGTTCAACGTTGAAGGTTCTGTAGTCCTCACTCTACCGCAGGGTTTCCCAACCATGGGCTTTTTAAGATGGGTGGATTTCACCTCCCAGAATTCCCTAGAGAGTATGCTTTTAAGCTGTGTGGACTTCAATTCCCAGAATCCCTCAGCCAAGCATGGGGAATTGAAACCAGCACACCTTAAAGAGGTCAAATTTTGAAAAAAAAAAGTTATTTTAGAGCAGTGGTGGCTAACCTTTTTGGGCTCCTGTGCCAAAAATTGTGCATGCTAGTGCTCGCATGCCAGCACCCAGAAGGCAATGCATGCCCCCCCATTCCCGCTCCTCATGCGCATGCAATCCGCCCCCTCCATGCCACCGTCTTACCTGCACTGCACCTCCCAGCTGATTTTTGGCCCATTTGAAGCCTTTTTTGGTCTCCCAGAGGCTTGAGGAAAGCTCTGCAGCCTCTGCAGGCCAAAAAATGCAGAAAGAAAGTGACAAAACGGGCCTATTTTTCGGCCTGCAAAATCAGCTGTGAGGCGTGTGCATGAGCAGTGAGGTAAGTTTGCCTGTGGCTCGCGTACCAGCACAAATGGCTCTGAATGCCACCTGTGGCACATGTGCCCTAGGTTCGCCATCACAGTTTTAGAGTATATAAATCCTTTCTGGGTTTGGATTTGGGGAAGTGAAGATGGTTGAATGGATGAGAGGGTTTCACTTTCCTACATAACGGGTACAAAAAATGACTGGGGAATTCTGGGAATTGAAGTCCACCCATCTTAAAATGGCCAAGGTGGAGAAACATCATTCCATAGGTGGTCCTCAATGTACGACCACCAATGAGCCCCAAATTTATGTGGCAAAGCGAGACATTTCTTAAGTGAATTTTGTCCCGTTTTACGACCTTTGTTTGCCATGCATATTAAGTGACTCATGGTGGTTGTTAAGACTGACCTGAGGTTGGGGTCCGATAAAACCAAAAAGCCCTTCGGATGTCAGCCAATTTTTTCCAGGATCCCTTGAGGTTCAGCAACCCTTTCAGCTTCAACTCGATTTCCCTGGCATTGAAAAAGGGAAGATAAGGTTAAGAGAAGACAATGAGAACATAGAATAATAGGGTCTAATCCAGTGATGGATAACATTTTTGGGCTTCTGTGCCGAAAATTGAGTGTACGCTCGCGCTTGCTCACATGCCAACACCCAGAAGGCAATGCGTGCAGCCCCCCCATGTCCCCTGCGCATGCGTGCACAATCCCCCCCCCATTGGCCCCTTACCTGCACTCTGCACGTGTGCACCTCCCAGCTGATTTTTGGGGCTTTTTTGGCCTCCCAGAGGCTTGAGGGAAGTCTCTGCAGCCTTTGGAGAACTGAAAAACGGGCCTGTTTAGTAACTTCCGGTATTTCCAGAAATATAGGAAGTGATGAAGTGGGAGGCGCGTGCATGTGCAGTGAGGTAAGTTTGCCTAGGGCTAGCATACCCGCATCTGTGGCATGTGTGCCATAGGTTCACCATCATGGGTCTCATCTATATATATAAAAGTGAAATACCCCTCATGCATCATCACAAAATCTCCAGCACTGTCCAGTCTACAAACTTGACATTTGACACCTATGTTCCTCTTGGCTTCTAGGGGCTCATTAAGAAAGGATTTTTTGAAATGCCCATCAAAGCATTTAGAATGTTTCCTATATTGTCATTATTATTATTATTATTATTATTATTATTATTATTATTATTATTATTATTATTATTATTATTATTATTTCTGTTGTTGTTGTTGTTGTTATGTTCTGATACTAAGGAATTCTACCCTCCACCTGAAAAGAAATATCTTCCAAAGGCAAAACACAAGCAGAGGAGAGGAGTTTCAGTCTCAGTCTCAGTTTCAGTTTCAGTTTCAGTTTCAGAGCACCAAGCAGCTTTAATCCAGAACAGTTGAACTAAGCCACGCCCAGGCTCCATGCTGTCTCCTGCTTGCTCACACAGCAAATGCTGTTTCAGTTCTCAAACAGCCCTCAACTCTCTCACAGGATGCTAGCCAGATGAATACCAATGGATGCTGGTAGGCAGAGGCAGAATTTCCTCCCCTTATTTTCCTCCCCCAAAAGTAAGCCCGCTCCACATAGTTTTGTAGCGAAGCACGGGTATCAAGCTAGTAATCGATGAAGGACTTGAAACAAAGATGGAGCTTTGAAGTTATTTATGTCGATGGCACCAAGATTACTTTGCAGTAATCTTGGAAGGACATAGTGATTCGCATAATGGATGAAAGGCTGCAAAAGTTGATGTAATTAGCAGAGATAGCTAAATCGACTGCTTTGATTAAAAAAAAAAGAAGACAATTTGGTTTCTCCTTGGAAACCACTTCTGGACTTTGTGCTCAAGGTGGGAGAAACTTTGATTCTCATTGCTTCAATTCAAGAAAAGAAG